ATATGCATCAAAAAGCCACATTTTTTCCCACCCACCTTTTTCCAATTTCGAAACCCATCTATGGTAAATGCTCGTTGACCGTAGTATCCGAGCCCGGATGGCTTGTTAAATAAAAAACAAGGAAAACAAAATGCTGCATCCAAGGTCTTTGAATATTCAATCCAGGGATGTAACTTATACCAAGAAGTTTGAAAGCTACGTCTATGACTTTCTAGTCCAGATTTTGGAAACATAGAAAGTGTAGGTTGAAGAGGACCAAGATTCATGTAAGCTCGTCGAATTGTATCTTGTTGATTGATAGGATAATCAGAAATTTGATGACGCAAAGCAGGGTCTCGTTCTAGTGTACCGAGATCAATATCAATTCTTTCAATTTGAGCTTTTTTGCAAGGGTTTTCAATAGGCGGAATACTAGATGCAGGGGTATTATCTACATTTGTTGTTTCTTCGGGATCTTGAGAAGAAGAACTACCATGCTTTCTTTTAAAAAACCCATGAATGGTAGGTTGAGTTTTCATCTTTATCTACATTACATAGAAATTTTAGTGTTAGATACTTAGATTATATTCACCTAAATCACCTAAATTCACCTAAATCACCACTTTCCACATAAATTTCCACATAAATTTCCACAATCCACATAAATAAAGAATGAACTATTAACATCTAAATTCTAAAGCCTAACCACAGTCCACAGCACAGGTCCACACCACACAGTCCACCTAAATTCACCTAAATCACCTAAGAATGGACTGTCCACATAAATTTAGACCTAAATGACTAAATGTCTAAATCAGTAAATCTGTAAATCAGTAAATGAGTAAAGCAATTACGCAAGCAAATCGAAGGTGCAAGCAGTAACTTACAGTCTTACTTACAGAGAATGAGAATGAGAGAAGGACTTACCGGCTGAGAGCTTGCCGTCGACCGCTTGCAGTGCTGACTGCTGCCGCCTCTGCCTGGCCCGCCTCCGCCTCCGCTGGCGCTGCCCTGCCCTGCCGCCTCCTCCTACGTTGCGTGCCTGGGAGTAGCTCTCCTCCGCGACCGCGCCTCCGCCTCCCTCTGACCCTCTCGCTCTCGTCGCTCTCGCTCTCGTCGCTCTCGCTCTCGTCGTCGCTTGGTAGCCTGGAGCTGGAAGTGGGGGGGCCGGTTGAGAAATTTTGGTTTCCTAATCTATTAGACTGTAAACTATGGAAGGGTTTTTGGTAAAAAAAGCGCAGGGGCCAGGGCCCCTATAGGCCCACTAGGCGGTCCGCCCCTGTATGTATATAAATGAGCGATTAAATGAAAACACTCCAATTTGTAAAAACCGTAAAAACTACTCTCATCCATCGTTAATCTTATGAAATTTTTTCATGAAATTGTTAATCTTGTGAAATTGTTTTATATAATACTTTTTTTATGAAGTTGTTTCATATGTGGTTATGAAATTGTTTCATATGCTACTTAATGAAATTTTAATGAAACTGTTTCATGTATTTCTCTAAAATTAAAATAATGAAGATGATAATATCCATGATTAACACCTTTCACAATAAAAATGGTTAATCAACCTCTCATAATTACAAAAAAAATGAACAAAATGAAAAATTATGATTGGCTGAATGAGGTTTTCACAGTTTTTACAAATTGAGTGGTTTTTATTTGAACTCACCCCTATATATATATATATATATATATATATATATATATATATATATTTATTAAAGGTTTAAACGAGAACATCTTCATTTTACGAGAATGCGATAATACCGTTTTATTATAGACAATCACACATGATACTATTATTCCATCACATATGATACTAAATCAGAGACACTGACGATTTTCGATGCGATCTTGGTTTGCTGGTCAAGTAAGCCCTCTCACAAATATTATCACATGTGATAAGGGTGGTGTTGATATGATACTATAATTCATTAAAATCATCACATGTGATGCTAAATCATAAACGCAGACAACCTTTGGTGTGACCTAAGTCGTAGAACACGTCGTCCGCACATCACAGGGTTCCCTCATCGTATTATCGCATGTGATAAAGGTGTTCTTTCGTTCTCGTAAAATGGAGGTGTTTTTATTTGAATCTCCACCTATATATATAGACTTGGGATCATGTGAGACCAAAAGTTTTTCGTGAGACCCGTAAGACCAATTATCAACCCTTGGATTAAATCTATAATCTGACAATCTGAACATTTATAAATGCCTGAGACTTCTCAATAATCACAAAATTGTCACTGTGCAATTTTAGGTAATTAGATCATTAGCTTATAAAGTTAATCAATAAACATAAATTAGTTTTACGGGTCTCACGAAAAACCCTTGGTCTCACATGATCCAAAGTCTATATATATATATATATATATATATGTATATATATATATATATATATATGTATGTGTATATATATATATGTATGTATGAAACACGACAAAGAAGGGGAAACTTCGAAGAAACTAGGTTGTGTACCAAGTCTTACCTGAATTTGCACGAAAAACAAGTACTACTACTATTATTACATTTCTACCAATACGTGATTGGAATAAGATGACTAAACTTACACATAAATAACTAATCCAATAATTCACTTTTAACTATTCTTTAAAATGCATTGAATGAAAATCTAGTCTTAATCAAAAATTAATATCAACAAGATGTATCGAATCAACTTTTTTTTAAAGCGAAATTTATGGGTAGACATCAGATCAAAGTAATTAAAGATACATATCGTTTTTTACGTTTATTATTTTCTCTTTTCCACACAAGATACTTCATGTATTTAAAAATTAAATATATAACGAACATTTTATACCTTATAATTAAGAACTCTTATGGTTACATGTACATCTGAAATGTTACTCAATATTTGATCAAAATGACAAGTTCTTATATGTACATAACTTAAAGTTGGTATGAAACCAATACTACCGAAAATAGCTGGTACCGATATATACATGTTATAAGATTTTATGTATAAATTATAATTGGTTGATATATGGTATCAGAGAAGAAACTTTCTGTCGTACCAAGTCGATCCTACATACATGGGTTAGTACATTATTAAATCTATTACGGTGAAATTAAACAGATTTATGTTACTAAGATTTAAAAACAAAAATGGTCTCATATAAACCAGCTCCATTTAATTATAATTGAGTCTGATTCCTATCGAGACTTAAAGTGGCCGATCATGCAATCGGCCAGTCCTAACCAATTATCAAATTGAATGAAGCAATCCAGCTGTCAACGAGCCTTTTGTAACGGGTTAAATGTAACATTGTAACTAAGCCATATTTATGCCTTTTTACTATATCCATAATAAAATAAATAAACCACAAGGGTGGTGAATGATTGGTTTGAGCTTGACTTCAAAAGTCAAAAGTATCAGGAGGTCCCAGGTTCAAATCCAAAGAAGAATAAAAATCCCCTTGTGGCCACGGAGGTTCAAATACGGTGACTCCGGGCTATCTGCAAAATAGGTGGTCGCACTGAGATTAGTCGGCTCGCATAACGGGTTGGATATCCAGGTTAATAAAAAAATATATTATTAAACTTATAATTGAAATAAAGAGTAAAAAACATAAAGAGTTATATAATGGATAATAAAGAAAGAGTTTGAAATTTGGTAACCAATAGTGATGGCCAAAAACCGGTCCTAGGTCGGGTTGGGCCTAATCGATCTCAAGCTTTTTCATAACTGGCCATAATCGGTCCCGGTCGAAAATGGTAAGACCGGTCAATGTACTTCATAATCGGTTATGGCCCGCCGGTCCCGACATTAAAATAAGATTTTTTTAATGATATATATTTTTAATACATTATAAAATTTACAATTGGGTCACTCAAATACACTTTAAAAATGCATTTTAATATAATTAAAATTACATTATCTTGTAAAATTACATTATAAAATTATTTAAAAATACATTTATTTATAAAATTATTTGAATTTTCGGGCCGGACCGGGCCGGTCCCGGTCCCACGAAACTACCAAAAACCCCAACCGGTCCCGATTTTCGGTCCCATAACTAGTCCCGGGCTGGGCTGGACCGATTTGGCCATCACTAACCAGTTAATCTACTCTTGACTCTTAATGATGGTTTTTAAAAACAAACTCAACGGTTAATATCAATTCTAATTCTTTTGAAAGATTTTATTTCAATTCCTACTGATCAAACACGGTCAACATTAATTCTAATTCCTTCAAAGTCAATTTTCTTTAATAGGCCATCAAATTTCATTTTGTGAATCAAACATCCTTTAAATGGTTACAATAAAAATAACATATAATTTTAGAAATTCATAATAATTATTCTTTTTAAATAATCAAAATAATATGAATAAAAACAATGAACGAGTGAAGAGTATCACACTCTTATCAACTACGCTTGTATGCTGAACACGTAGGATGTTGGTGTACATTGTCTCCCCCCCTCTCTCTAGAACATTCTCTACTTATAAGCGACCGAGCTTATTTGATGCATCCACACATACTCAACACCCAAACTTTAAGTTTTAATATTTGTTTTGATTGAAAGAAGATCAATGATGAAGGAGTTTCATGTAAATGGAGGAGGAGAGATCATGGAAGAGATTGAGGAGGAGGAGATATGGTCTGCACCTTTGTCGAAGCAGGATCAGTTCCCTCTCTTATCTTTGAATCATGTCTCCTTTATCTGTAAATCTGTAAGCCGATCTGTTAAGTTCTACCAGGAGGTATTGGGATTTGTGCTCATCAGACGTCCTTCTTCTTTTGACTTCCAAGGTGCTTGGTACGTATCGATTTCTATTCCCTTTCTTACAGTTTTTTACCTTCAAATTTTGTCAGGATCCGGCTGTTTTTGGATTAAAAAGTTGGATTCAGTTCAAAATTTGCTGTTGTTAAAACGATTAGACAAACCTAAGAAGGAAGAACTCTTGAAAAGAATGTTTTGGTGTTAAATTTTTTCACTTGACTGAGCTAATATTGCGTAATTCCAATGCTCATGTAAATTAGAACGAAGGCATTATCGATTGGATGTTCATTGTCTTGTCTAGATCTCTCTCTCTCTTTCTCTCTCTCTCTCTCTCTATATATATATATATATATTTGGATGTTCATTGTCTTGTCTAGATCTCTCTCTCTGTATATGTATATATATATATATATGTGTATATATATATATATATATATCCTAGAAGTAACTCCATTCAGTTGCAACTTTCAAAGAATGAGCTAACTTGAATACTGGAGTTTGATTGTAAACAATCTTGTGTATTTTTGGATCTGGCCTTCTGTTCATAATGCTGTATTCGTTAAAACAAGAAATCAAAAGCCTGATAATGTAAACGAGTCTGCATACGTGTTGGTAATAGAACTCATAACAAAATCTGATGATGTAAGAGATTCTGTATACAAATCACATCCTCTAAAATGGTAAAAGAACTTGTACTTAAGCAAAACAAGTGATTAGTGGTTTTTATATGCATCATTTCATCACAAACCAGAGCATGGAAATGTAAAATGGGAAATATGATCTTTACTTATGCAATACAGAATTCATAGGAAATGAAAATTTTGTATGAAAGAGTTGAAATATCATAGTTTGTCATTATGCATAAGGAATTTGACAGACCTGATCTTAATACTCATCAGATTTCATTTTTTTTCTGTTACCATAACAACTTTTACCATTGAAGAACTATGATGGTCCATCAATACTATATGAATTTAAAATTTTATTCAATTGTTATCATCTCCCAGATAGTTTTGTTGTGGCAGGCAAATAGTACGGAAGGTCATTAAACTGTTAAGTCGGTGTCATTTAACCCATAGTGTCGGTGTGTTTGTCTGAATCTGAATACATCTTATCGTTGGGCACACATTCGTTGATTTTCATTGTAATAAATTACTTTGATACTTTCACAAAATGATTTCCTCAATGCAGATTTTTATGAATAGGAAAAAAATTAAAATCTTGTTTTTCGTTGCAGTCATATTTAGAGGAAGGGAATTAAAATTTACGTTGATGATTTGAAACAGGTTGTTCAACCATGGGATTGGGATACATTTGCTAGAGATGGAGACAACTCCAAGAAAGAAAGCAGTGATCAATCCAAAAGACAACCACATTTCATTTCAATGCTCAGATATGGATCTGATAATCAAGAAAATAGAGGAGTTGGGCATCAAGTATGTGACCGCGGTGGTGAAAGAAGGTGGCGTGGAGGTGAACCAGCTCTTCTTCCATGATCCCGATGGTTACATGATTGAGATCTGCAATTGCCATGTTCTTCCTGTGCTTCCCATCTCCTCATGCCCCCTCACGAAGATCCCATCCATCAACCATGTGGATTCGTCTTTCTATGGTATGCTCACAATTCCATCCTACCTATTTAGCTCAATCACCTTCTCTGCTGTTTTACATTTATTTTAGAAGAAAGGACCCTTTTAAATTCAAACTTGAAGAAGTAACAGAACCCAATAATAAACTTAAAGCCAATAAGAAGAGTAAGTTATCTTGGTTAAATTCACACTTGAAGAAGTAACAGAACCCATCAATAAACTTAAAGCCAATAAGAAGAGTAAGTTATCTTGGGTGCATTTGGGACATTGTTAAGTTCAAAATTTATGGGAAAACTTATGCGAATTGAAGAGAAAGCTAATCTTTTAGAGTAAGTTATGTTATCTAGTAATCAATAGGAGTGAGCATTACGTAATGAATATATAAATTATATATGATGGGTGAAAATGCAGAGAAGATGAGGTGGACGAGGCAGTTTTGCGGAGAGGATGAGGCCTTGATGATGGACAATCTGTTAGTTGACATGATGGGTATTTCCTTTTAAGATCCATGGGAGGCAGGAAGAGAGCAATTTTGTCCACAAATGCCTTATATGTTGTACAGTGTATATTTTCCAATTTCAATAATAAGCAAGGATTACATGTGCCTAGCTAGCTTAATGAAGGGAGACATGGTAGCAGATTCCTTAGGAAGAATGGTTGGGTTGAAGATCCTTCGGACTGCTTTTATGCCTTTCTCTTGTCTTGTTGGTTTTACTTGCATGGTGGTAATAGAGAGCGGCTGTGAGTTATATATATCAATGTATTGGTAGAGAGGCTATGATGATATGTTATGGCTATATATATATATATATATATATATATATCATCATAATGGTTTGTACCTTATACTTATTCATCTTCATAATCAACATGAATTTGAAATGAATTTCATATGAAGTGGGATACTCATAACGGAAGTTCTTACTACTGAAACCAAACATTGGTTGAAGGTCTAAGCATTTGGAGCTAGTTAATCTAGGGAAAACTGAAACAACCATCAGATATTGGAATCAAGATAAACATAGTTGAATTCAATTAGATCCACATCAGAACAGTAGATTTGTGTGCTTTATAACCTTACTTCCATTATGGTCATAAAAGATAAACACAATGCTATATTTCACTCAAAATCTCAATAAAGTATCATGGAACAACAAGGAAGCACACCATTTTTTCATATCATTCTCTAATCATCCATACTTGCAGACATAGCGGCCGTATCTTGTACTTGGATCACTTCCAAGAGCATATATATATATATATATATAGCGGATCACTTTCAACAGCAAATATATATAGGGTTCGGGTCAGGTTCAGGTGAAAACCGTAAAAGAATGAAAGATTGAGGAACACCCTAATAACCATTCATCTTTACGGTATGTATATACGCATACAAGCAATTTAAGATGTTTCCTGGTTTCTCTGAACGTGCACATTTATGCATATGTGCATACCAAACAAATTACTTGCATGCACATAGGGTTGTTATGGTGTTCCTCGATTTTTCATTTTATGGGGCTTTCTCCCAAACCTGGCTCTATATATAGAAATTTGTCAAAAGGTCAACAAGTAAAAAAGAGAAGTAAAGGTCTTTGCTCTTGTTGAACCACATACATTGGAAGTGAAAAACATTGAGAAGCACCTTGTAACGAGTGACTAGGGGATGTACACAACACAATTTGTCAGCTGATAAACTCAATGGGTTCATAACTTCATGTAAACATGCTCCTTAAAACATTTGTTATGCATATAATATCATGTTATGGAAACATGCTTTCAATTATCAACAATTTAATGATAAAATGCCCAGTTTTGAAATCTTATTGATCCTCGTACATGCCGATCTAGTCCTCATTATTGATTCAGGTGTTAGCCCATGCGTTTTTGAGTGTAATTGGTGTTCTGGTGGGTGGTAAATCCGTACTTTATACCAAATAAAAAACGTTTCTGATTCATAAAAATGGAACACCCTAATCCTCATTTAGCATGCTAAGATAGTTTGAGATAAGCTAAAAAAAGTAATATACACAAACTCCATGAAATACTGAACACGTATTATACAGATACTGATCTTTGCTATAAATATTGTTTAATACGTAGACATACATCCCATTTAGAGCATATAAAAGTTACTTGGTACTGTAGGTCTAATATCTGATCTTGAACTAATCTTTACAACATATGCACTGAAGTCAGTGGCTAACTGTTACATATGACACCGCCATGCTTAATCGTACCAAGAACCCACATCTGGCTCACTAGTTGTTGCATGGTCTAACCATATTTAAACACCAATACCGTGTCAACCTACATGGTCCTGCCAGATGCTTCACAATGGTCTTGCCATATCCCTTTATAACTCCACACGGCTATGCCAAACCTAAGGCACATCCTAAACGGTCGTGCAACATGCACAAACCTGATTCTGAGTTCCAATAACGAATTGTTGCGTTGGTACACCAAATTAATCCCTTCTTTTTTGCATTAATACACCTGTAAAACACATCTAACAAATATCTTATTCTACATCGATCTAGCACTAGGTTATGCATAAAAAACAACCATCTTCTGTTATCATGTTGCTTCCTCACCCAATCAATGGTTATAGAGCCTTACATCGAGCATAAAAATGACGACGAACCGATTCTTGACATCATATGCTACTAAACTCACATCAATGTTGGTGATTTTAATGTCAAGACAAATATATAGTGAGTGAGGTGTGAAGTGTGGACTTACAAATGTTAACTCTATCACCTTTTATCGCCATGCGGAGGTCAAGGGGGTTGCGCCTCTAGTGGTGGTCCCTTGAATTAGTTATGAAACTTAGTAATTTTGTCTAGTATAAATCAAAAGGCTTCTATTCAGAGCTTTTGAGCCTTTTGAATTTAGTCCTTCTATGAGTAGTCTGAGCTTGGTACTTTTAACTCGGAGCTTCTGAGTCACCTGTGACTGTTGTTCAATTTTATCCGTAAGTGGTTGTGACTGTCATGCAATTACAAATTAATTGCTTAACAGTCTGTAACCGTCGATCTCTCATATAAATAGGTAAAATGTGGAATCAGGGTGTGTATATAAAGACTCGATTTTACAATCTTTAATTAAAAAGAGTTACCATTTGGATTACCCTAATAATCAATATGTGACACCCAAGGCAGATAAGGGATGAATTATTATATTAAGATCCAAGTGATTATCCAATTCGTATACGACCAACCCCTCATTTTTAACAATTAAAAACGAAAGTTTAACATATAAACTCTACTTTTCTTGATTTCCTCTTGTAATTAGAACTCGCTACGAATGCCATCGAGAGCTCAAATAAATAGTTGGGGTTCTGATTTCGTGAGATGGAGTGAATTTATGATTTCTGGCCACTCAACCACTTTAGTCCTCACACTTCCAACACTAACACATTAGCCCCTCCACTTGCACTATGAAGGAATTACATTTAACTCTCTTCTTAAAATTTATTACAAATTGGCCATTTTTGAAGTTTTACGTATTATAAGTCGTTATTCTCTTCAAGAGTGTTTGTTTTCAACTTAATGAGTTTAATAGATGGTTAGCTTAATTGATTAAGTTATATTAAGGTGTTTGATTTGAATTTCATAGACATAAGACAAAGATGAAACAATAATTTTATATAAATTTATTGGACACATAAATCTTGATAGATGGAGCTTAATTGTCAAGCAGGCCTGGTGGTTTGTATGGTAGCATTTTCCCAAGTGTTTTTTAATTTTTGAATTATCAAGGAAGATATATTGTATTGGTTTATGTATGCTCGTCTACTGATATTATAAATTCAAAACCTACTTTCTCAATATTCATTAAATTCATATAAATATTTCTGATTTTAAATGCATTAAAAGTGCATCTATTTATTTTAAAAAAACATTTAATGATTTATGATTCAAGATGTGCAAAGTCAAGTTATAAAATAAATGATATAATCCAAGCTTTAAATATCTATCATACCATTTATAGTGGTACTCACTAATCATATATTTTTCTTGCCATTTTATTGTCATTGTCGCATCAAAGTAAAAATTTCAATAAAATACCATAATAAATATTTTTACGAAAACCTCACTTTTTATTTTTTTAATTTATAAAGTGTAATTTTATTTATAAATTAATGTATATATATATATATACATATACATATATATATATATATATAGTCAAATATTATTTTCAGAAGTGATAAATATTTGAGAAGTACATGAGTGATCATATCTTTTCATACGATCGAAATTGGATTTGACTGTTTAATAATTATGACTTTTACTTGTTAAAAATTGCGACTATCCGAAAACTATAGAGAGTACTTTCATAATTTTTACAAATAGTCGGTAAATGGATTATATATGAATCTATGTGATTTACATATGAATTATATGTTTGTATGTAATTCACATATAAACTGAACCTGTGTGATTTATATATGAACTAATTAACTGATTCACATATGAATTCGTGGATTTATATATGAGTCAGTTAAATAGTTAACATGTCTATATATGTTCATATGTGCATTACATGAGTTCATATATGAAATCCATTTGCTTTATATTTATAAAAGTTATGAAATTGCCTTCTATTTTTCGGATACCCAAACAAGGATGTATCCGGTGCTCCACGTATTAAATAGATAAAATACTAGGAATTTTTTTTACTTTTTTTTTGGGAAATTTATAAAACTAATCGGTTTACACAACCCTTTGCCACAAAATAACCACATTTTAGAATTTTTGCCGGAATGACCACCGGGATCGCCCCCGTACTATATGGGGGGCGATCCCCCCTTAAGTCTTAAAAAAAAATTACCCTCAAAAGTCGAGATTACTGTTCATTTCTCGTTGACCGTGCTTTGACCTCGCCCCCGGGCGATCCAGACTGTCCAATCGCCCTCAGGGGCGATCCTGGTATTTTTTTTGTTTTTTGTTTTTTTGGTATTTTTAATAAAACTGATACGCCATTGAAGTTGTATTTTTTAACTTTTTTAGAACCAAATTTCATGGGTAAAAGTTTAAAAATAAACCTTTATAATTATGGAGAAGCAAAAAWTATTTTTATCTGTTTTGGGTTTCGTAAATCAGATATAATATCTGATTGACGAAATTTGACCTCTATTTTGTCATKTTGTGTTTTTTATKTAACAAYTAAGRGRTGTTTTTAATAAAAATGGAAAAATACATAAAGTGTGTCTTTTTACGTATTTAATTTTAAATTTCACGGTTTTTCGTTATAAAAAAACCGGATGATAATTGTGGTTACGAAAAAAAAAAAATTAGTTGATATTTGGAGAAAAAATCAGACATTAAATCTGATTTCGCGGTTTTTTATGATATGACACTCTATGACGTCAATTTGATGCCGATTTGACGATGATTTTGTTTTATTATTTAACGTTTTATATAAATTGGACGTGGGAGACCATTCATCCCCACCAACGCCCGTTTTCTCTGGAAAAACCGAGCGAAAAACCGAGCTTTGACCATCTCACCGACCATTCCGACCAATATCGATGCCATTCTTCGACATACCGTTATAGACTACCGTATAACGACATCGGCGACCTTCCGCCGCCGCCGACCATCGT